AGCTCCATGTAAATGTGTTTTACTTGTAATTAATATAATTTTACATGGATTTGTTGTCAAAACAATCAAGCAACTCTGTCTTCCAAGGTCAGTGTCCTCAATGCAAATGGTATTAGTGCTTTCAGTGGTATTACATAATATCCTCAAATTGTTCTCAAATGTTTCCAATATCTTGTGTTCCACAAGAGTACCAACATAGAGTAGTATCCTCTTGTTGGTACTTTTGTGCTGCAGCAGTAATACATTCATAAGAATTAATACATTTCTCACACTAATGCCTTCCATACTGCAAAAAGCATACTGTGTGTAGTCTTCCATAGTTGTGTAATATTTTCCATTCCTCCGATTATAATGTAAACCCCCTCCCTTTCCACTCTTCCTTGTATAATTGTATAATAATGTATAATTTATTAAGCCTAGTTAGCATTGTACAGCTTTGAGATATTTGCAAGAGCAGGATCTGATCTGACCTATTGGCAAGTACAAGGCTCTTGAAAATAACAGAATCTCTCTTATCTACCTTCAAGTTTTCAGCTTTAACTGTGGTGGGGCTAGAGGCAGGTCACTATCTAAATGACATCATGTTAAAGCCCCTGTATGAACAGCTTTAATGGGATCATGACAGGCTTTAATGTTTACTGATGAAATATGTTTTAGTAAAACATAAAACAAAAAAAGAGTCAATTCTTTTGAAAAGGGTGTGGTTGCTTTGAACCCATTCTTCTTGGTAGCTGCCCCGTTCAGCAGCAGCAAATCTCCGCTGAGGAGGACCTACCCTGGCATCTGTGACTTTGAATTCTCTCAGGATGTACTGAGGCATGTTGTACTCAGCCATAGGGTCCACAACAAAGTACTGGTAGCGTGCTGAGCGCTCAGCAGGCCAGTACTGATGGCACTTTTCCTAAAGATTGGAAAAGGAGATGTATCACAACATGTAATGCAGGATATCAGCATATCAACTTTTTGAGTTTTGCCTGGAATAGTCATTGACAACATATAAATCCACTAGAATTACTGTAGAAAACAGATTCATGTTGTTAAATGGGTAGTCACTGTTAAGGGATAAGTAGTTCAGTGCAGGCAGGGTCTGTGTTCTTGATTTGTGGTAATTTTACTATTTTTTTTACTTTGTAACATAGTGACCCAGTAAGATAGAGTCTATGTGATATAATATGATATAAGCTAAAAAAATGTTTAATAAGAAGTTGTAATGGTTTATTATTTTTTAAAACTTGTATGTTATGGAATATAACGGTATAATGGTTTGGTTTGCTTGAGTTGACAGATGTATATAACGTAAATGTGTGTTTCATTACATGTGGAGTAACTGTATATGTAAGGGCACAAACAAATGTGTACAGTACATATTGTATTGTATGTATTGCATATGTATCTGGATATTATTCATGTGAGACAAGCATTTGCAGGCTGTGAACATTTTTTCCCCTAGAAACAAAAAAATTTATGTATGTATTTATATGTAGCTTTGGCAATATTGTTGCTATACATTAAAGCTAATTTTAATTAAATTGATGTGTGTATTTATCTACTGAGCCAGATAGATATAGTGATAATGGTTGTAAAACCATTTAAATGTATGGGATAGCTAAATTAAAACATTAGACAAAATTCAAAAAAAAAAGTGTTATTATATGTTACAAATACTACTAAACTAAACTAAATATGTTTATTGTTCTGAATAGTGTGCAATGATTCCTATGCTTAAACTATGTGATTTTCGACATGCTGATTTTGAAGTTACAGTATCATCATGGCATGAAAGTAACATAAATTAAAATATACTTTTCAACAAAAGCTATTTTGAGTTATAATTAGCTATATTTAAATACACTATTTTGTAGTGGACAGCGGAAGAATTCAATTTCAATAAAGTTTCACTTTCAGGTATTATAATCACATTTATTAAACTCATTTTAATAATTGTCAAAAATATATTAGGCAATATAATTTAAGTTTACACAAAGCACATGCTAAAAACGTGCTAAGTATACTAAATTAAAATTTAATGCACTCAGTCAATGAAAGAATCTAAGCAGTCTAAATGTCTTAATGTATCTAAAATGTACAATTATATATATTTATATCTCATAACTATACAGCAAGTATCAAAAATACACTTTAAGCACATTTATTGTGAGTTCACATGGAAGTATAAAAGTAATCTTTTTTATTAGGAACAACTGTACAAAAGGGGATCTGCAGGTGATGGAAAGTGCCTTGAGCTTTTTAAGACCCTTTTAAAAGCCAGATTTAGCACACTTTGGATACATTTCATATTCCCCTGAAAATCAAAGTCAATTTTATTTACATCTGTTTTATAATTAATGATATGACATGAGATATAGCGTGATTGTGATGTGTTACCCGTCCCATCTCGCGGAGTTTGGTGAGCATGACCACAATGGTGGAGTTGTGTTCCCACAGCATTCTCCAGAAGTCCTCTGTGGTCTCGGCTAACGGGCCCTGGGTGGCCATGTATGCTTTCTGCTGCCTGCAAATTGGAGAAAGACGCGTCTGTGTTTACTCCTCACGGTTTTGGCAGCACTGGTCTTATTTGGATACCATTTCAATTTTCTTCCTCCTCAGCCCTAGCTGTGACTCTGGTGCAAAATTTATTTTAACTGTAATGAAGATGGCAGCTCAATAATGATGTCTTCAAAAAGCTTTAACATACAATTGTTTAGTTTGTTTTGTTGATGTTGTTGTTTGTTTGTTAGATTGAGTTTTCAACCATCTGACACATATCGAGATCAACCCAGATTATCATAAGCTGTCTAAAACATTTTCTATCTGCCCAATCAAATTAACTGACAACTGACACACGTCTGGGTTGATGGGGAGTTGCCCACTTTGCCTGGCTGGTTTTTGTATATGTACTGAAAATTTAAAATTACATTTTACATGCAATGTCTCGATACATCTATATTGTATATTAAGAATTACTGTCATACGTATTTACAGGATGTGCAATAAAATACTGCTAAAACAAGTTCATTATTTTATTCAGTTTAGCTGGATTCACCAATCACCACATCCCTTTAATAGCTTCTGGACCCATGCAATGAAGTTCCAACTGTGGAATGAACCTCTCAGGTGTTAAATATTTCATTTTACACACCCCTTTAAAGTAGATTTGATTCTGTCAGCTGTTGCTAATGTGTGCATTAATATTTAAATGGTTTAGCTCGAACACAGACTCTTTTTAACAGCACTGTTAAAATGACAGATGCCATCACAGCTGCTCAGCGAAGCTCAGGGCGATCCACTGGAGTAGTTACAGGACATGCCCACTGGTGGGCAGTGTTAAAGCATACAGCAGATGGCCTGGGTAATTCTCTCAAGCTTGTGTGCCTGAGTACCAGAGCAGCACAAATCATTGGCTGGTGACACTGTTGTTTTTGTCCACCCCTTCCTAACCTTAGGTTTACCTCTGTGCAACAAGCACTGGAACTATTATTTGAATACTTCTAAAATGTTGTCACTTTACCTGCTGCCTGTTCTGCCTCACCACTGCAGAATGATTAGAGGATCTTTGACCAGTAGCTGTTAATCATGGATCTTTGGTTGAGTTTGTTTATGGTCATGTGGGAGATTGAATATAAGAATTACATCACTGCTGACCTATGCGCATTCAAGCAACACAAAACACATTGTTTGGCTGCATTGAGCAATCAGAACTTTAAACAGTTATAAACAACTATTGTTACTCTCTACTTATCATTAATACAATTAAAAAAAAAAGATACTGAAAATCAAACTCAGAAGTGTGTTTTAAAGGCAAAATTGGCTTTATTCTGTATTTTTGTTATTATCAACCAATACTGTGAAAAGACCCAAACCAGTGTGTTAGTCCAGTTTATTACAACTTGGGTCTTATTTACCTAGTTTTCCTAGGCCATAATTCCTATTAGTCATAATAACATTGTATTCACTGAGATCTAAGAATATGGCCAAGTCTGGTGGGTTTGGACTGATTCTGAGGTAATGGGGCCCTTGGCACATACAGGTCAATGGCCCTACCTTCACAGCAGCAGGAGTTGGTTTGAGTTGGGTTAAGGAGCTTCCTGCTATATCTTTGACCTACTGTTCTTACTGTAGTTGTGTGTACACAGGTCTCCTGTGCAAAGAGGGATTATTAACAACATTTCAGGTGTGCTTACTTTCAACTTGACCTCCAAATAATGGTTTAGATAATATGGATCAACAAATAATCAATTGAAATCCAAAAAAAAAAAAAAAAGATACAAGTTGTAATAGATAATAGGGTAATAGAACTTTCCTTTATGAGCTACACTCATACTGGGGCGGCTGTGGCTCAGGGGGTAGAGCGGGTTGGCCGTTAATCTGAAGGTTGGTGGTTCAATCCCGGCTCCCCCAGGCTGCATGTCGAAGTGTCACTGGGCAAGATACTGAACCCCAATTTGCCCCTGGTGGCTGTTCCGCCACTGTGTTTCAGTCTGTTTGAGCACTTAGAATGGTGAATGTCGAAAAGACTAGAAAGGCACTATACAAGTATGGAGCATTTACATTCACTATAACTGAAAATTACACAGTTAATAGGTTCTTCTAAAGAGAACAATAACAGAGCGCTATAAAAAGGGAAGGATCCTTTCTATTTACGTCTTTTCAAATGTAGAGGTAAAGATATACTATATACTGAGTATTACCTTACATCACTATGGACATGCACTGAGGTAAATGACTGCAGCTGATACCTAGGGGTCACGGGATGTCTCCACTAATCATCATAATCATGCCTATCTCCCTCACGTTAATCTATCCTAATCCACACGGCACACTTTAAAGGCTGAGCTCAGAGAATGCTGGAGCTTCCTGTATCTCACTCCACTCTTAATTACTGCAACAGGAATTAGTGAGGAATTACAGGACACCCCTACCTCATTCCCCATCCTCCCCTAGATGGGGGTGCCCAGGAGACTTCATTAGGTGCTGAGAATAAGTTATACCCATCCTCGCTGCAAGTGAAAGGGGAAATCCTGATTTATTAGCCCTTGCTATCCTCTGCTAGTGCTCTGGAAAGTATTTCCAATTAGTGTATATATTTTCATAAAACATTTGCTTCTTTGAAAGGCCTGTGATTGGATATTTATCTGACACTTGACAATATCAATACTGACATATAATAATGTATGTATTATATAGTGCTTTAGCAAATCAGACAGACTCTCTATTTAGTTGTCACACAAGTGTGTTAACACACACAGGAGCACACACACAAAAACTTTACACAGACAGAGATCTTTGAAGGATTGCGTCACAGAGAGCCAGAGACAGTCTAGGTTCACCACAATTTTAGCAATAGCAATAAGTCACTACTTGTATTTGTACAGAGAGGTTTGCGCGCACCGTGAGATCTTCAACTCCAACCTCCGGCGGAGCTTTTCTGGCATCCCTGTGGAGGTTGGGGACATTGAACATGAGTGGGCAATGTTCAAAGCCTCTATTGCTGAAGCTGCAGTGGAAGGCTGTGGTCTCAAGGTGCCTCAAGGGGCGGTAACCCTCGAACACCGTGGTGAACACCGGTGGTCAGGGAAGCCCTCCGACTGAAGAAAGAGGCCTTCCGGGATTTGTTGTCTCGGAGGACTCCGGAGGCGGTAGCAAGGTACCGAAGAGCCCGAAGGGCTGCAGTCTCTGCTGTGGCAGATGCAAAGCAGCGGGTGTGGGAGAAGTTTGGAGAAGACACGGAAGGACTTTCGGTTGGCACCAAAGTGTTTCTGGAGAACTGTCTGCCATCTCAGGAGGGGTAAGCGGGGAACCGTCCAAGCTGTGTACAGTAAGGATGGGACCCTGTTGACCTGAACAGGGGAGGTAATTGGGCGGTGGAAGGAACACTTTGAGAAACTCCTAAATCCGACTGACTCTCTCTAGTAGAGGCAGAGCTGGAGGCTGATGGGGGTTTCTCGTCAATTTCCCTGGAGGAAATCACTGAGGTAGTCAAACAACTCCACAGTGGCAAAGCCCCAGGGATTGATGAGATGTGCCCAGAAATGCTAAAAGTGGAAGTTACGTGGAAGTCGGGTACAGTGCCCAAGGAGTGGCAGACTGGAGCGGTGGTTTCCCTGTTCAAAAAGGGGGACCAGAGAGTGTGTGCCAATTACAGGGGTATCACACTTCTCACCTGTGCTGGAACGGAGGGTTTGGCCGATAGTCGAATCTCAGATCGAAGAGGAACAATGCGGTTTTCGTCCCGGTCGTGGAACAACTGACCAGCTCTTTACTCTCACAAGGATCCTGGAGTGGGCTTGGGAGTATGCTCATCCAGTCTACATGTGCTTTGTAGATCTGGAGAAGGCATATGACCAGGTCCCCCAAGGAGAAACTGTGGGAGTATGGGGTGAGGGGGGCCCTTCTCAGGGCTATCCAATCCCTGTACATCCAAAGCAAGAGCTGTGTTCGAGTACTCGGCAGTAAATTGGACTCTTTCCAGGTTAGGGTTGGCCTTTGCCAGGGCTGCGCTTTGTCACCAACCCTGTTTGTGATATTCATGGACAGGATATCGTGGCGTAGTAGGAAGGACTGCGGTTCAGTGGGCTTGGGATCTCGTCACTGCTTTTTGCGGATGATGTGGTCCTGAAGGCATCATCGGTCCGTGACCTTCAGCTCTCACTGGATCGGTTCGCAGCAGAGTGAGAAGCAGTTGGGATGAGGATTAGCACCTCTAAATCTGTGGCCATGGTTCTCAGCAGGAAACCGGTGGAGTGCCAACTCCAGGTAGGGAATGAGTCCTTACCCCAAGTGAAGGAGTTCAAGTACCTCTTGTTCTTGTTCACTAGTGAGGGGAGACTGGAGCAGGAGATTGGCCGGAGAATCAGCGGGGGCAGTATTGCACTCGCTTTACCGCACCGTTTACTGAGCCATAAGGCAAAGCTCTCGATCTACCGGTCAATTTTCGTTCCCACCCTCACCTATGGTCATGAAGGCTGGGTCATGACCGAAAGAACGAGATCGTGGGTACAAGCTGCCGAAATGGGTTTCCTCAGGCGGGTGGATGGTGTCTCCCTTAGAGATAGGGTGAGAAGCTCAGCCATCTGCGAGGAGCTCAGAGTAGAGCCGCTGCTCCTTTACGTTGAAAGGAGCCAGTTGAGGTGGTTTGGGTATCTGGTAAGGATGCCTCCTAGACGCCTTCCTAGGGAGGTGTTCCAGGCACGTCCATCTGGGAGGACAAGACCCAGGACTAGGTGGAAAGATTATATCTCCACACTGGCCTGGGAATGCCTCGGGATCCCCCAGTCAGAGCTGGTTAATCTGGCTCTGGAAAGAGAAGTTAAGTTTGGGTTCCCCTGCTGGAGCTGCTGCCCCCACGACCCGATCCCGGATAAGCGGATGAAGATGGATGGATGGATTGTATTTGTATTTTTACTTGTTGTGGAAGGCAATTACATATATTTATATAGTTTACTGTATTCACACTCCAAATGCTTGTGGAGTAGAAGTAGAGTTGAGAGTTGAAAGTAGTTCCAGCACATAGATACTATTAGAATCTCATTGTTGTCGTTTATTTTTATGTACATGTTAATTAGTGAGATTTAGAGGTGATGGTAGGCTAGCTGTTTCCTTCTTCTTCCAGTCTTTATGCTAAGCTAGGCTAAGCACATCCTGACTCCAGCTCTACTTACTGTAACACACAGAGATGAGACTGATTTTCTTATCACACTCTTACAAAAGAAAGTGAATTCCAAAATGTTGAACTATTCCTTTAAAGCCTGGTAAGTCCATTAGAGTTGTGCAATAATATGTAAATACTAAATTTGTCTGTAATGTTGTTTTGACTTATTACATTGTAATGAATGTAAAAAGAAGGCATTATTTCACTGAACAAAGGGATAAACTTTGTCCTGAGGCCCATAAGTGAAAAGTCTTGCACACAGTTCATTTCTCTGGCATAACACCTATCTCAAACAGGCTATCCATTACAAGAGGGAAAAACAGGAGATAATTAACAGGCCTGTCAATAAGACCAATTTGTTTTGACAACTGAAATAACAAAAGGATGGCAGTGAAACACTGCATGTCAACTTGTAATTTACTGCTGTCAGCTGCCAGAGAAAAGGTCCACCTCAGTGCTCATTAGACGTGCAGCTGCTGAGCCATGGACTCACCTGTATCCGTCGATGAAGCTGGCATTGATGTAGTCGGAGCCCTCCACCCCTCTGATTGGCTGCAGGCAGACTCGGGTGGATTCAAAAGGCAGGATGTTTACCAGACGGTTCTTGAATTTGTTACACGGCAAGTTGGCACTGATGAATCTTGAGGTATGTGCTTTAGAGTTTGCCAGTTTCTGCAGAGACAGAGAGGAGGACACGGCTGTCTCTGATGCTCCTCAGCCCAGAGGTGACTGCACTGCAGCTTCACAACTACGCTCACTGTCTCCACTGTCCGCCTCTGGTCTTTTAAATTGCAAATACAACCAGTCTTGGTTGAATGTGGTGTGTGAACAAAGTTGTTAAAGGGCACGGAGAGGTAATACTCTCATTGATGCATGAAAATGATGCACTTTGAGCTGATCCTCTTTGTTCTCTGACTTGAAATAAAAACCTGATGGATGTGTGTGTTAAAACTCATCCTGAAGACATTGAAAAGTCAAAATAAACTTCCACACATTTACTGCGAGCTGAAATAGAAAGGCCTGTGACAATGCATACCAAACTGAGGACAATAAAACTTTTGAAAGCAACATCCCAATTGTCAGTTTGTGAATCCTCTGCACTGCAAGGGCATGCATCAATTTGAGAAGAGCCTGCGAAAAACATTTGCAGTGATTTGAGGATCAAAACCTAATTATGCTCTGTCCAGTTTTACAGCTGTCCTCCTTGCTTGAACAAGCAGCATAATTCGGTTTGTGGTGTGCCCCCCACCCCCCACGAAGGGGCTGCTTAAATCACTGTGGTGTTACTCAGTGCGGAGTGAGCTGTCATGGATGGTGCAGTGCTGCAGCTCATCCTATGTAAAACCACCTAACCTAGTAGGACCTTATCTTTAGGCTGTCAGACATTCAGTTTGTCCCAGGCTCTCTCTTTCATTCTATCACTTTCTCTCTGCATTTCCTGCACTCACCCTCTCCTTTGCCTGTCATCTGAAGCTTAGAAGTTAAGCTCTCCCAGCTCCTCCTCTGAGAAGGAGTTCATCTTTGTTACACAGGGTAAGATGAAAATCTTCCTCTTTCCTAGCTCCCACTACTGCATGCAGTTACAGGGGCACTCCAGCCATTTACTACTGTACATCCATGAATTCCTTGAATTGTTGTTATTGTTGACTCTGACTTTATGCTCCAGAGCCATGTCATCTACATTTAATTCCAGCATTTTATCATATTAAAAATACATGTAGAGAAAGAGGCTCATTGTCCCAGGTATATGCAGTAAAACATGGACGACTGTTTCACCCATAGTTTTCTAAAGAGCTGTTGTGTAGCTCAATGAGGGCCCAGCACCCACCTTGGCAGTGCCTGACTCTAGCTAATCCAAAAATGGGCCAAGAGGTGGAGCTGAGGCAAGGGTTTCTGCATTGCATTGTGTTAACTGCTGTAATGCACCATCATAAATGTTATTGTTACCACCTATTTCCTAGTAAGGCAAGTCAAAATGTCTGCTGTAAAAACGGTCTATAAATCAAATTCAAAAGTGCTCTAATCCTATTAAGGCTACAAGGAGCAGGTTAGCAAGATTGACGACATGTAAAGGACAAGATCGACAGTTTTGAAAGGGAGGAAAAGTAAAACAGATGATGCTTATCCAGCAAACACAAAAGTTGAATCCAAAACATGAAAAAGCCTTTCTTGCTGTCACTGTTCATACGGAAGGAGTCTTGTGTTTTGTTTGTGTAAAGACAAAGTTCAACTTGCAGTTTCACAACAGAAACATGAAAAAAGAACACAGGTTATGTTCTTAATGTTACTTTATAGATACTATATATCCCCAGTATATTCCCCAGTTACTGATAAAAATGCAATAAATTTATGTGTGTGAGTGGAGGGAGCATCACCGAAAATTTTTAACCACTGGGTTAGACTATTGCAACACCCTCCACAGTGGTCTGCCTAAATTTCACCGCCTATACTTAAAATGCCACTGCCACAGTCCTGACAAGAGAGGGCACATTTAGCCAATAGGTACAAAGTAGGTTTAATAATCACATTACAACAGGGTTTTAAAATGAAATATGGTTTGTAAATCCCTTCTGCTTCATAGCAGACGATATACAGTATAAAAAACAATGATATACTGTACATAGAACTGTACACCTTTTCTTAGATTGTTGCATTGTTCTCTGGACAGCTTCAGAATTGATTTTACTTACAATTAAATCTTTCACAAACATTCCATTTCATAAAGCCACCTTGCATCACAAAATCAGTCAATAAACACAAACACAGCAGATGCAGTTATGTGGTCGCCCCTTTAAAGAGACTATCAACATGTACTCGACCTGAAAATAAAAGGTACCTACCTTAAACTCCAGTTCCATGGCGCTGACAGTCTCTCCAGAAGGGATTTGGGTGAGCTTCTGGATGTGGGCATACAGGTTTCTGGCTGGGACTTCAGTGTTGCCACATGTTGCAGCTTCCAGCAGGGCCTCATGGATGAATACGTACTGATCCTCTGTCTGCACCATGTAGTTCCTCTGAGCTCGCATACACGTCACGTGACCGTATATATCCACCGACTTCTCATGTTTCATCCTCTCCAGCATGGCTTCGATCACAATGAAGCAGCCTGTCCGGCCCACACCAGCACTGACAGAGCACACAAATAGGAGACATGGTTGACATGGCTGTTTATTGTGTATTGGGATCCCCATTTGTTGTTGTCCTGACAACTACTGTTCCTGGTCTCCAGCTCTTTTCAGGCAGCGCTTGAGCAGAGCAGCATTGAGCAGTTATGAAGATAATAGTATGGCTTGCATTCCCTGCAAGGTGCAACTTGGACTAAGCCATGGGCAGCACCTTCTTATTAGAGATAGCCCCCTTCCCATTTTTGCAGCTATTTTGTTTATGAGACCTCACCAGGAAAGTTACATATCAAGTATAACCCCCAAATGTTCCAGGAGACTTCCTCAGTTCTGACACACTGGTAGGGAATCTCAGCTATTTAACCTGAAATGGTATATAAGCAGAGAAAGCAACTGTCGTAAGCAACTCTGGGGGACAGCACCAACCATTCTGTTTCTGTCTGTATCACTCAACCACTGATCGATCATCTGCATTAAAGCTGCACTAGTAGAATGTCCCTGTTTATAGGCATGTTGGAATTCTGAGTTAAGTTTGTTTACAGAAAAAGTCTGATCAAACACCCTTCTTTTAATGAACTTACACTTACAGTACAGGAGGAATGCTGACAGGATGGCTGCTGGCAGCTCTAAATAGCTTTTGCAGGCTTCCAAGGTGTGCAAACCCTCCTTTAAACTTTGATAAAAATATAAGAAATATAACCAATAAAGTTTTCCATCCAGGTTATTTAGTCTTGATGGTTTTTCACTATTTATGCCATTCAGATATTTTAAATTCAAAATTAATAGGCTGAAAGTAAAATTCACAAGCATTTTCATAAAACAATGCTTAATTAATTATTAGGACATTTTGATATGTGATACTGTTTCAGAGTTTTTCTATGTTTTTGAATATATTGATTAAAATAATTTGATATCAAGCGAAATAAGAGTACTATCCAGCTCAATTAAACAGGGTTTCCTATCCTTATATCTACCTAGAATGTCCTCCAGAATTTCTTACTGACATACTTAATTTAATTTATCCTATTTTGATGATGTTTTATTTTTCTTATTCATTTTAGTTTCTTGGTTTCTCTCTGGACAGTATGACTTCCAATCAGCTGCATCACTGCACTTAATTGACACCTTCTGTTCTTCATCCAGCCAAGGGGCTTTTCTTGCTTTAACTGTACATTTTCTAATGGGGGCATGCTTATCAGGCACCTCTAACAGCAATTCTTTGAATGACTGTAGTGCTTTTTCCACATTGTTGCACACACTCTAAAAGATCCATTTAAAAGATCTCTGGTGGAGAACTCTTGGTCTCACTTTTGGAAATCTGACTTTCCTGGCAACTGCCCCAAAATTGTGGTCACTGAGTTCCACAGAAACAGATACAGACTTTGAGCACAGTTTTTTTAAAGATGAGGTCAATACAGGTTGCTGATGTCCTGCATGGTTAGTTTGCACCTGAGTAGGGAATTACATCAGCTGAGATGAGATATTAGCAGTTCCACTCAGCACTTTTCCCATCAATAAACAGGTTTGTGATAATACATTTAAGTAGAAGTCACCTAAAAAATAGATTTATATCTTGACAAGAAGCCCTCTGCAGTATTAAACACATTTCTTCTAAATACTCAATATCTGCATCTTAAAAGAAGTGAGCTGGTAAGAGGTAAATTAATCTCTATCTAAAGCACCTCAGTAAATGGACTGACAGTAACCTGACACTCATGTCTCAAGGTGCAGACAAAGACGATGCACAGGAACTGTTTTCTCTGTTTATATCCATTCCTATGATCTTTCTTTGTTACAGGTTGGGGCATGCTACAGCAAAATTCAATATAATCTTGAGTTACTATTTATTATACTATTATTATTATATTAGTATTTTAATTGGGAGAATAGGAGAGCAAGACTGTGTAACTTTTGAGAGTCACACAATCTTCCTTTTTTATGAATGAAAGTTTAAGCAATAAAAACACCCTTGTCCAGTTTCATTTTATTCATATAGCCCAATATCACAAAGTGTGATTTTGATAAATATTGCTGCTTTTGAACACTGTGGGATGCTCTTCCTTTAGCCATAACTTATGTGTTCTCTGCTGACACCTTCAAAAAGCAGCTGTAAATGTTCTGTACTTGTATAGCTCCTTTCTAGTCTTTTTGACGACTCAAAGCACTTTTACACTACATCTGCATTCACCATTCACTCACTGAGCTCAAACAGAAACTAACATTTTATTCAAAATGGCCTGATGCTGTCTAGTGTTTTTTAGGACAGTTGTGTATGTTTTATTGTTGCTTCTTTACTGTTTTCATCTAAAAGTCCAAAAGTCCCATACGACTCCCTATCATCTAGTAAAGCACTTTGTGACCTTTCTCTGTGAAAGGTGCTATGCTAAATAAACTTTACTTACTTACTTATTGACTTTGTGACTTTTCTCTCCTTGTTACAGTTGTGTTCAGACTGAGTGTAGGGTACATTTTAGACAGAGACTGTATATAAAGTCAATACAAACAAGTGAGTGAGAGGTAAGATGCATCCATGCAAACTGCAAATGTCTCAGACTGAGCACTAAAAATATTTGCTTATCAGACACAAAAATAAAAGGAACAGAAATAACTAGAGTTCCCACTGAATCTTCAATCAGAGGCTGAGCAAACACACTCAAAACACACATTGTTGTACAGGTAACAAGGGGCCAAGTGTGGCACTGTCAGAATAAAAAGAGCTGTCACTCTGGAACCAATGACTGAGCATTTGGTCTGGGGAAGGCTGCAGCATGTGGGTGGGGTGTCGGCTGACACCACAGTTGTGATGGAGCCTACAAGTGCGAGATCGAGGCCAAGATCATTTATTGTTGGGAGGACTGTGGCATTGCTGAGAGATGATGGGTGGCTGCCTTCGAAAGTGATAAATCCCTCTTACAAGCTGTCACATTGAGACGAAATGCTAAGCTGGCAGATGTGTATCTATGTATGACACTGGAAAATTTCAGTGACTCCCAGCCCAGCATGCAACAAAACATGCAATGGTCGACAGCCAACCCCTTCCATTGCAATGAGGAGCACAGCCTAACCACAGAGGTATCCAGCCTTCCTGATCTTTGTCAAAGACACCTAGTTTTCAGGCTGATCCTCTCCATTCAGTGTTGCATGACATAGGGCTGTCTGATATAGACATATATTCCTGTCAAGTATCACCTACTTGTAAGAAGAAATTGGTTAACCTCATTGCAGACTTCCAGTCAATCTTCTCCAGAGATAAGTTGGATTGCAGGAAATGCTACAGGTTACCTTCATTGGATTCGCATTACTGATGAGAAACCCTTTCGGTTGCCATCCACCCAGTATGAAAAACTCAGGCAAGTGCTGGACAAGATGGAGGATGTGGCGAGAAACGCTGTCACAAAGAAGAAAACTTACCTGTACATTTTCCCATCTTCACTGCGATCCAGGGTGCTGAGAGGAGTCCATGATGAGGCTGGCCACAAGGGGCAGCAGAGAACATTGTATCTTGCCAGGCAGAGGTTTCATTAGCTAGAGTTGAGGAAGGATGTGATGGAGTACGTGGGTTGTTGCGTGTTGTGAGCAGGTCACCAGAGCCTGAAGCAAGGGCACCTTTGGAAAGCATCAGGACGTCGACACCTCTTGAACTGGTATGCATCGACTTCTGGACGGCTGAAGATTCTGCCAATAGGTCTTTGGATGTACTTGTAGTCACAGAGCACTTTACGAAGATGGCGCACGTGTTCTTGTGTCCCAACCAATCCACCAAAGCAGTTGCACACCAGCTGTGGCATAACTACTTTTGCATTTGGTGTGGGAGACCTGGGTTCGATTCCCACTGTGAGACATCCACCATTGTGTCCCTGAGCAAGACACTTAACCCATCATTGCTCCAGAGGCGTGTGACCTCTGACATCTATAGCAAGTAAGTCGCTTTGGATAAAAGCTAAAAAAATAAATGTAAATGTAAATTTATGGATTTCCCATGTGCCTGCACTACCGACCAAGGGGCCAATTTTGAGAGCTCTCTGATTGCAAAGTTGTTAAGTGTGGCAGGTGTCCAAAAGTCCCATACGACTCCCTATCATCTGATGGGAAATGGTTCCTGCGAGAGGATGAACAGAACATTGGGGAACATGATTTGTGCGCTGCCACCTAGAGCGAAGTACAGATGGCCTGATGCTTTGAAGTCTCTGACATTTGCTTACAACTGCATGTTGCATGAAACAACAGGCTATGCCCCATTCCTACTCATGTTCGGCAGGTGCCAGCAGCCAGTGTGCAATGGTGTTTACAGCAAACAGCTGATGGAGTTACGCTAAATACTGGGTCTTGAAGTTTTCATCAGTCAGGAATTTTTTACACAGAGTCGGTCTCCTCTTCTTCTGAATTGTTGGGCTTCTGTAAATAGCATCACAGAGTACGGTCTAGACCTGCTCTTTTATGAAAAGCACTGTGAGATAACTGTTGTTGTGATTTGGCGCTATATAAATAAAACTGAATTTAATTGAAATTGAATTCTCCAAAACAAGCGGAACAGCTGATTACAGCATGTATAAAGCATGTTAAATATCACGTTCCTCTGACGCAGGCGGACACAGATGTGAGTCCTGCAGCTGGTCTGCAGCTCTTGTCGCCTGGGAATATTGTAATAACCTTCAAAGCTGTTGCAATTTTATTTTTGAGTTGCTTTCTCTCAAACTTTATCGCATGTCTACTCATTATCCTCCCACACAAAAAAAACTGTTTTTAATGGTCACACAAAGCCTATAGTTTTTCATTATATTCCAATCAAATCTGATGTTCATTTATAAATTTTGCTCATGGATAGTGTTTACAAATAATGATGCCTGTGCATCGCTTTGTACGGCGACTTAAAAGTCCCCAGTACATTGGTCAAAAAGCGGCTCAAGCAACTAAAGCGACATGACGATCTGTACAACCGGAAGGTGCGTGGTGACCGGGGTGCCAACAAAGGCGAACGTAGAAAAAGGAAGCTTGCAGACCGTTGGGAGAATGCAATGTATGTGATGGTTGGTCAAAGTGAGGAGAGTCACATCCTTAAGCTCCAGCATACCTCCACTGGTCTGGAGAAGGTTGTGCATCGAAATCTGACAACGCCGGTGAACTTTCTCCCCTTGCCGACTGTTAACCCCAGGACGAGGAGGATGTGTCCTCGATGTTCAGTTCTTGATGGCGAGAGGGAGACTGTTGCCGATGATGGGTGTCTGTCCTGCCATCTGAGTTCTCCAGCAAAGCAAATTTGGAGGATGTTGACCAGCCTGAGGAAATTGGGGTTGACATACACCTGGAAGTGGCTCTTGTCTTGCCTGCTGACACCAGTTTGCCTGAGGCACATGTGGAACAACCATCTCGCAGTTCTTCACAGACTGGAGTGATCCTACCATCAGGTGGGGGTTCTGCTGAGTCTGTCAACAACTTAGCTCTTGACCAGGGCCCTCGAGACAGCCATTCATGTACAGAGACTCAGGGCATGGCTGACACTTCTCTGCATAACATTGGAGCAGCCTCTATTGAAACCAGTTGCCAGACTTACTGAGATCATGCATCAGAAAACTGGGGTGGGGGTTTAGATACCATTCACCGTGTAAGGTTCAGTTTACGTTACCACCAGGGTTTAGTGGTGGGTGGGTTTTTTTTCTGTCCTGATATTTGTCTATGAGAATTGGGTTTTGATTGACTCTCTTTTGTCTTCTATTTCTGTGTTGTGGTAATTTGCAGTCACGATGTGTAATATGTAACAGGCATATTTTTCCCTGTGTGTGGTGATCGGGTCTGGCCAACCTCCTCCTACCCTGATTCTTTTGAGGAATAGCTTGCTAAGCTGGGTGTTTGTCACTGTGATTTTGGGTATACAGCCTCAGCGGTAACGAGCTGCAAAAGAACAAATAGGTGACTTTGCTCTTGTATGTTTTGATTTTAATTGTTTAATTGTGTTTTTGTGCCTGGTGTGTTGTACTGGTCATATTTCTTCCTTTTCCTTCTTGTTTTAGGAGCAAGTGGAATTTAGCAGGGGAGAGTATAACAGGGTTTATGTAGTATATTATTCCACTTGCTATAAGTCATTCATTTATTATCCATCTATCTGTGGGGATTTATTGACGTTGTTAGTTCATGAGAGACTTGCCCGAGGTGAGCTGCTAAACGCAGCACTGTGTACAAATATTGTGTATTATGTCTGTTAATATGAACTACATGAACACATGTGCACTGCAACTTATGGAGAGGTTGATAAGACGAGTTATGAGTGGGTTGTTGTACTTTTAAAGTGCTAAAGTGTTTAAGTAACAATAGAATGCATCTTCTAAAATAGCTAGCATCAGTGCTAAAACAACTTGCCATTCTTTTGTAGTGTGCTGTGTGTGAGCTGCCTAAAGTGAGCCAACTGTATATCTGACCAGTACATAGTCCAGGTACATATTTTTGTGTAATTTTATTTGTAACATTAACTAACAGGCCGGTGACGTGCCCGAGATAATAAACGGCTGCATCATTTCAAATACACAACGCAGAGTCAAGGGATTGATTGCACCAGCCAGCTACAGTGAAGTGTAGTTGAGCGACACATTTTATCTAGTTACTCTCATAGGTATCTCACAGGTGTCTCTTGACTGGCATTGCTAGTATCAAGAATGGCCATTGCCCTGCGTCTCCTTTAGGTTATTAAAATCTATGCACTTTACAAAACAGTCTGATTGTTAATGGATGACTTACTTATACTGGCAGCTCACTTTGTAATGACACTGGTTTGTAAGTTATTGTGCACTTGTTTAACATGTTTCCCCCTAAAGCTAAATAGGTCAGTTCACAAGGTGATTCAAAATGTTTATCTAAAATAAGAAACCAAAAATGACCCGAGGGTGAACTCCTGAGCACCCACGATATACAACTGATGCCTGTGAAGCATTCAGCATGGCCAATCACTGCTTAAAGTGTGTGTGCTTGTTGTTTAGTGGTTTCAGAAAGTTGTGGGATGCCATTGGGAAGGGGATTTCAGATTTAGATGATCGGACACACACTTTGAAGAATGCTAAGGCCGTTGTGTCGATGTTTATCGTGGGTGGTGGTGATGGCGCATAGATAAGATGCTTGCCTCGAAGCATCGATTCCCACTGTGAGACATCCACCATTGTGTCCCTGAGCAAGACACTTAACCCCTAGTTGCTCCAGAGGCATGCAACCTCTGATATGTATAGCAGTTGTAAGTCGCTTTGGAATTAATGTAATGTAATGTAAGAGGTAGTTTACCTGCAGTGGACCACCATGGGTCCAGCGTCTGGAGGATTACAGGCCTTGACCCTGCGTAGAAAGGCCAGTGTTGGGGTGGGATACTCAGGCACTCCATGATCAGGCCAGGCCATGAACTGGAACTGTCGAACTTCTCTCTTCTCACTTGAGCCATTCTGTTAGTGCCCACATAAAAATGCGATTCAACACACTGACTTAATTAACTGAATTAACAAATGCATTTCAATTACTACTAGAACTACTTGAATGGACTGATTAATGTGACATGATGAAATTGCCATACATTACTTATGCATTCTGAGCAGACCCAAATGACATGAATAAAGAGCCCTTGATGAATGATAATACACTGGTGCAGCACTATCAATGGCAAACCATTTTTCATCAGATCTGCAGTAAATGCTTGGTAACTTGGTATTCATCACATTCAGCAAGCCACAGTTGTCAAATTTTCTCCGTTCAAGTGCCAAGACACAATGTTCTCCGCTTTGAATCCCTCATCAGACATGTAATACGTAACACTGCAGGCTCCATCTAACCTATCTGTTAAAGAGATGGCTTTCAGACCCAGGTGTCATTTACGTTACTGTTGTTTAACGCTTTATTCAGACACGACAGCATATTTAAGGACAGAGCTGTGTTGCTTGGTTGACACTTGGCACCAGGTGAGAAAGTAAGAGAGTGAGAGAGCAGCGATGAGTTAAAAGTTTTATTATAGCAAAGAGGAAGACAGTGTTTTCTTCTCTCACAGGCTACATCACTGATTAAGTTATTTTGCTGTTAAGCCTTAATGACCTGCGTTGTTGTGAGCATGAGGGATGCTTGCCACTGCTTCTCACAGTGAATCCACTATAACTTTGTTATATTAAATGGCAAATTCTGTTGGCATTAATAAAATTTCAAAATAGAGTTTTGTTATTACTGTGGTTGTATGAGAGTTTTTTTTTTAGACTTTTCTAATCGTGTCACACCACAAGGGGAAATTGTTTTTATAGACTTATCTGATCTGAGACTAATCTCCTCAATAACTTATTAAACTTTTTTTGCACATAAGAGATGGTGACTGAGATCATTTATTACAGTGATTTTAGTAGCAGACACACATCTCTCTTTCTCTGCATGGTTCACCTTGTGCTGCCGAAGTCTTTACATTAATCTGACGGCACTCAATTCAGACTTGTGCCCATGATGAAAGTAATACAGAAATGTTACAGGTCCGACCAAACCCACTGTCTTGACATTTATATAAAAGTGACTAGGGTGTTTATTCAGACATGAGACCGATGTAGCCTACATCTTAAATTGTCATCACATTTAAGAAACAAGGTGCAAGTCTGAAAGCTTCAGTGCTCTTTCAGAACAAACCACCAAAGCCTTCTGCTGTCCATGAGTTGTGACTTTGCTGCCAAACATAGTCATACTCCATATTCACAGTATACATAAGGAGTTCTCACCTTATAGAGGGCAAATGTGCGTACTGTGTACGTAGCCAGCTCCACAGTGTCCAGCATGGTGACCTGAATCATCCCATATGTCTCTGTGCCTCGACTGGGCCAGTACTGGTCACACTTCACCTGCACCCAGACAAATAGTGTTTTCATAAACAACAGTGTTATTGCTGAAGTGATATGGACAGAAGGAGAAGAAAAGAACAACAACAATGAGAGGGTGTCTTTTTGGTTACAGTTGTACAGGATCCTTTTGCTTTCTGAGAAAAGAGACAGATTAAAAGAGAAAGAGGATCAAAATGAATGCAGCAGACCCAGACATGTCTTTTTCATTACATGCATTTTTTCTACCTTGTCAATATCTGGCACCTACATTACTCAACTGCTGACAGTTCAGTCAGCGATTTGGGTTTATTATGCCAATAGTGGCTTATGTAGCCTCATGCCGCTAGCCTCAAGCAGAGATGAGGAGCAGGCTACAGAGATTTGGTAAGCTCATGTCCTTCTAACAAATTCAAATTCAAATTAGTTTTATTAGCTATTTCTTAGCTAGCTCTCCTTCTGAAACCACAAAATGCTTTATATAACTTATTTCATATATACAATAGAACTCCCCAACACCTGTACAAAGACTTTCATGTATAAAATTGGTCCCCTTTATGTAAGTAGACAAGTCTTCAGTGGTTAAAGTCAAAGCTTAGTGCACCAAGCTAGACAACATTGCTAGTGCAATCAAGTGTGCCTGTAGCCCCACCCAGGTAAATAATCACAAGCCACCACTGACTGTCGGTGAGTTGTTTTTTCTATAAAAGTCATAAACGTGGGGTGAAATGTACAAATCAGCCTCTAGTGGGGCTTCATAGTGTTAGTGTAAAAAAGGGGCGTGTTTTTTTCACAATGGTGCATGCTCCGTATTTTCCCCAGAAGAATGCACGTTGATTGTGTCAGGATATAAGGAGTTTAAAGACACATTAACAGCTAAATCTGTTATGGTTTGGGTATTTTCCTGTTTAAGTTTTATTTGATCATCTTCTGGTTTGTGGTTATTTTGCAGCTGTTCCAAGTTTAGTGTCAGTCCTGTTTCTAGTTTGGTTCTGTCTCTGGGCATTTCTCATTTCCCAAATTTGTGCCTCCTCGACTCTTCACAGTGTGTCTTAGTCCCTCACACACAAGATGCGAGCTCGAGGAGTCAAGGAGGAGAAGCGAGAAGAGAGGAGTTGAGGAAACGGGTATTTAATGAAATGAGATGTCCTTTACCCGGAGACGTCATTTTAAAGCAACATAAATTAAATGCAGACCTGTTGCACAACTGCAGCATCTGTCCATTGAGCTCTGATCTCTGTCAGATGAGCAGACCAGCTTTTGGCACTAAAGGCTACAGATCAGATCTTCACAATCCAGAAACATGTCTGTGAACATTATAACACGTAGAAACATCTCAAGGTTCTAATAAACAGTATAGCATCTGTTGAAAACAGTAAGATTACAGCAGTGTACTATCATTCGCTAGGCTACACAGAAATACAATGTGCCTTTTGTCTGTAAACAGGAGATCATTTCATGTATCTCATATAGCCCCAATTAAAACTGTCATCACTGGACTCTACTGTTGGAATGACATGTGCAGACTACACGGGCAGTAATTATATAACATGAAACACAGCAGATCAGTGCTGAATGCTCTGGTTCATTTTACAACGTAATAATTTGACTTCAGCATATATATATGTTTTATTGATGTGCTATGAGTGTTTTCCTTGACGATTTACTTTGATGACTAGTGGCTGCTGTCACCATCTGTGCAGTAATGTCAAAGCAAAAAAACCTGCAGTAATAAACTTGACAGGACAGGCAGAGGAAACTCTGCAGAGGAAACAGAATTAAACTTTCAGCTTCTATAATCCATGTTTACAGTTTCACTTTATGAATCTGGACTGTGTGTGAGCGCTTTTGGATGTGTAGAAGAAAACAAAACATGAATTAACATTAGATCCTGACCGATCCTGTCGGGAGATTTTAATTATTCATTTATGTTGCTGTGGCTCGTGCGTAAATGCTCACGGCGTCTCTGGAGAGGCGCTTCACCCAGCCCCTATTCCTTTTTTATGATCCTGCTGCCCATCCACACATCACATTCAACAATAACATCATCAGTGAAGTGAAATGACATTCAGGAATGCGGTAGAAGAGTGCTTTATGAGGCGCTACACAAACGGTTAAGCAAAGAAAGTTTGATCGCCCATTTACAGATAGGCTACATCTCAGAAACTAGCCTGTTATTTAACTAAGATCTTCTCCCTAAAATCACTGAGGCTGCAGGGCTCGCTCTATGAACGTAATGCTGTTGTGTTTTGTGTGATTTCAGCTGCAACCTCAGTGGAACAAGTCAGAATGAACGTCTCGGGTTACGTATGTAACCCTTGTTCCCCGAGAAGGGGAACGAGACACTGCGTCGGTGACAACACTATGGGAACGCTTCTGGACGTGGCAGGGCTGAACTATGAATGAAACTACTCCAATCCTATTGGTGTTACTAGAACGGTGTGTATGACGGCGTAACCGGAGGGGTATATAAGCACGCCGGCACATAGGACACATTAGCCCTTTCTATGAAGCAAGGCACTCCAGAAGCAAGGGGTGAGGTGTGGCGGACCGACGCAGTGTCTCGTTCCCCTTCTCGGGGAACAATGGTTACATACGGTCTCTTTGTTACTTTATGTTTTACATGTAGTCTACTTTGTTGAGGCCTCTGTCATTACATGTAGGCCGCTTCTTTGTTTCCCAAAACGTGAAGTCCCAACATTACTTAGCCTGTCAAAACAGGACACACAGGAGTTGTAGTTTTAGGGGAACACATAAAGTGCATTAGCTGCCCTGTTAAAACAGATCTCATTGACAACTGACATGCTTTTTGAACCTGAAGACAGTTGATGTCCTTACATACAAATGCCTCAGAAGAGGGACTTGGAGCACTCCTTCAATAAAGACAGAAAGGCGAACTCAAAGCTATAAAGTACAGGTCACAAACACTGACACGATAAGAAAAAACCCCTATTGATTACATTCAGGAAAGTATGTTTCTTTAAGTTGGCATTTACAGACAAGTTTAGAGATAACTTCTTTTGTGCTGCCTCTGTAACAGTATAGAGTAATAACCCATAAGAACTTATGTTCTGAGCACAGTTAAAGTGAATGCAACTGGACATCGCTGGGTGGATGCAGAGTGCAATGTTCAGTACAGTTAAAACACAAAGTATCATCAAGTGGTCTGGATGTCAGTCATGTCATCTCAGCCTACATGTTCAGGAGATAGCAGCGGATAACCAGCCACACATAAAAGTAACACAGCAGCAGTTACTGTAGACACAGTTGCAAGTCCCTGCCATATCTCATGTACTTCAGCTGAAAATGTCTGAAGAAGTCATAAATATGGAAACATATTTCTCCTCCACTCCTCCATCACGGAGCAGGTGTATGTTAGAGACCTTGCGCTCCTCCACCTTCCGTTTGAGGACGCCCCACAGATGCTCAATAGGGTTTTGGTCTGGAGACATGCTTGGCCAGTCCATCACCTTTACCCTCAGCTTCTTTAGCAAGGCAGTGGTCATCTTGGAGGTGTGTTTGGGTTGTTATCATGTTGGAATACTGCCCTGCGGCCCAGTGTCCGAAGGGAGGGGATCATGCTCTGCTTCAGTATGTCACAGTAGATGTTGGCATTCATGGTTCCCTCAATGAACTGTAGCTCCCCAGTGCCGGCAGAACTCATGCGGCCCCCACCATGCTTGACTGTAGGCAAGACACACTTGTCAGACCACAGGACATGGCTCCAGTAATCCAGGTCCTTAGTCTGCTTGTCTTCAGCCAACTGTTTGCAGGCTTTCTTGTGCATCATCTTTAGAAGAGGCTTCCTTCTGGGACGACAGCCATGCAGACCAATTTGATGCAGTGTGCGGCGTATGGTCTGAGCACTGACAGGCAGACCCCCCACCCCTTCAACCTCTGCAGTAATGCTAGCAGCACTCATACGTCTATTTCCCAAAGACAACCTCTGGATATGATGCTGAGCATGTGCACTCAACTTCTTTGGTCGACCATGGCGAGGCCTGTTCTGAGTGGAACCTGTCCTGTTGTACTGCTGTATGGTCTTGGCTACCGTGCTGCAGCTCAGTTTCAGGGTCATAGCAATCTTCTTATAGCCTAGGCCATCTTTATGTAGCAAAAATTCTTGTTTTCAGAGTTCTTTGCCATTTCTTCAGTGTTGTCACATGAACATATATAATCGAATACATGAACATATGAACATGAACAGATATAATCGAATACATGAACATATGAACATGAACAGATATAATCGAATACATGAACATATGAACATGAACAGATATAATTGAATACATGAACATATGAACATGAACAGATATAATCGAATATTTACAATAATGTGAGGGGTGTACTCACTTTTGTGAGATATAAGTCAGAAGTCTCTAAAAATACAGTCAACACATGGCAGAATGTTGACATTTACATTTACATTTACTCATTTGGCGCTTTTATCCACAGCGACTTACACTTGAGGAACAACATACAAGCATCAACAGAGCATCAACTACAGATCTACAACTGACAATACATACTAGTAAGAGCAGCAATAAATACTAGTAAGAGCTCATAGTTCATATCACATCAATGGGGTAGATACCTAGGGAAGGAAGTAAGAGTTAACAAAAAGTGCAATTAATATAAGATAATTGTAGGGGATAGAAGAAGAAGAGCACAGGAAGTGCATGTTAGAGGTTAGGAGTTAGAGGTGTTATAAGAGGAAGTGTTCTCGGAAGAGATGAGTTTTCAAGAGCTTCTTGAAGTTAGAGAGGGACGCCCCTGCTCTGATGGCGTGTGGTAGCTCGTTCCACCATCGTGGTGTCACAGAGTGAGCTAGGGCCTGATTTTCCTTATGTTGATGAGTAATCTTTCACTAATACTCCACTAATGTTACAACTGCTCAGGGTTTAACTACACTAAAGTTTAAACACTAGTGCTGTTTAGGAGTGGTGTGACAATATTACATACACCAGTAATGTACTGTGATGGTAAGAGAAAACATGATGCAGTGCCCGATTGGATGCCTCTTTGTGTGAGGAAATGTGGCCGCAAGTGCCATCCAAGGTGTCCCAAGGTGTGCAAAAAACATGATGAAAGGGCCCTCAGCAGGGACGAATTACCGCAAGTCCTATTGGACCCAGGGCTCTAAATCCCAAAGGGGTTGCGCAGAAGTTTCATTTCTAGGGGTGCTCGAGAATAACGATCATCTATGCTAGCTTTCCCCGACCCTCAAAAGGGATAAAATTCCGACGAATACCCGCCAACATGCATCATTCAATTTCTGTGCCCCATCTCTGCCACTGCTAATACACACACTGAAGATCAAACTCTAATGGCTAGGATGTCAAGAAATTTATTGAGAATCAATAGTTTCTTGTACTATGAAGAGAAACAACAGCATTATTTGTTTGCTAAAATGCCTTAAAAGGAGCTTCGGGGAACTAATGTGGCATTGATACATAGCCACAAAACATTGCAGGGTGAACATTTGGGGTGGATGGAAGGGTTACCAAAGCATGTGACATTAACATAAAAGACTGTTGTCCACTTTATGGTTCCTTCATTTAACTGTGACCACCCGAAGTATAGTCCCCTCCAAAAGTATTGGAAAATGCAAAGGCAAATTCTTTTGTTTTTGTTGTTCACTGAAGACATTTGGGTTAAAAGATGAGTATGAGAGTTCAGAAATTCAGCTTTTATTTCCTGGTATTCACATCTAGATGTGAAAACTCAGGAGGTAATCTAGGAGTTAATAAAATGCATTAATGTATCATTGAGGTGAAAAGGTGCCACAATCACATTTAAAGAGGTTGCTTCCCCAAACAAAAAACACAAAAGAGAAAACTAAATCATGTGTTGACCAGTGTTGGCCAAGTTACTTCCAAAATGTAATACATTATATATCACTAGTTACTGTCATTTGAGAGTAATTAGTTATATTACAATATAACTGTATGTGAATTGTAATGCTTTACACTACTTTTGCATTATTTTTGAGTTACTTTCACTGCTACTTAATTGGCGCATTATTCTGACAGTAAGATCTGCAGCATAGTTGGGTTCTATTGATTAATAGTGGATTAAGAAAGACGCTGTGCGCATTTACACACAAGGTACAGCAGCATAACGTCATTAATAATTTGAATCTGGATTAGTCAGGATGAACTGACAGCAGTCTCTCTGATCTTGAAAGTAATTTGTTAAAGAAAACACATAGCCTATAGAAATCTATTTACGCATGATCCATCACAGGAGCTAATTGGAGCCGATCTCCCCCATAGTTTGCACCCATCGATCATCAGATTCTCACAGGAAATAACATTACTCTTTCACTCATGGATTTGTTTTTCTGCTGCCAAAATGCTATACATTACTGTAATTGCGTTACTTTTGTACTTTTGAGTCACTCCCAACACTAATGTTGACTCAGTAGGGATAATATTAAATAAGTTGATCTACAGGAAAAATATAGAATAAAGAATGCCTGATTATATTTTATATTTTGAAATGTCACCTACCACCCAAATTTTGTTTCCCTTTATGCTAATACAAACATTTCTACCATAAATTAGTGCAGAAAATGGACCAGAAATTTTCACCAGAATGCACGAAATAAAGTCTTTAATGCTCAAAACCTCAGACACCTCAGATAGGAAGCGATTTGCGCTGAAGTTAAAATATTTTGAACTTAGAGCGCGGCATGTGGGCGAGGTTGCTGAGCAATGCGCTGTGCTGCGCTTTCGCTTTGCTCGACGCAATGACAAACCGCTGTGGCGCAAGCCATTGAAAATAATGGGTTTTACAGCACAGCAGTGCAGTCGTTGCAGTCTGTCTGAAAGGCCCATAACATTTAGTGGCATCTATTGGTGAGGGTTGTGAATTGCAACCAACTTTCCAGTCTGCCACTGCCTCCTACCCTTTCAAAGAGCATAGGACAGCTACGGTCTCTGACACAGCACAAAAGGTGTCTCTTCTGAGCCAGCACAGAGTAGCCAGTCAAGAAATTAGGTTTCTTGGTTTCTTTGGGTATATTTATTGAGAAATTATATTTACTTAATTATTCAGTAAAACCATTTGTTAATGCGACTTGGCCACTGACAGATAACAAGGAAAATGTAAGCCAAGAGTGTGTAATATTGTCACTGTTTCTGCACCACAGTCCATTATAAACCACACATTAGATACATTTTTTACAAACATTGACAAGGGAAACACATTAATTCTCTCTGTGATTATGTATCCTTGCCAAAACTGCTCGGCAACAATATAATCAGGCCCGCGGCCAGATTATGGCACTTTGATAGTAACAAAAAATATAAATAAATAAATACTTTGATAGCGGTGCTAAAATAGATCTCAGTCTTGGCAGGAATAGTTGCTCACATAATCACTTCCTCTTTAGTGGTTTTGCCTACAAAATAAAAGCGCAAGAAGCTTGTTTACTGTAATGCAGTATTTGGAGTTGAACTGAGCTTTTACTTATTTTACAAATTCTGAACAACATTAAAAGAGTCTGTAGCCTGCTTGACACACCTCTGAAAGAGCTGTCAGAAAATGTGATTCCCCTAAATGTCCTCTGCCTGGTGGTACTGGGGAAATGAAAAAGCGTCCGTAGGTTGATGGATGTGGATCAAACACCGGAACACAAACAGTGCAACACATGCCATGATCTGAGAAATATTCGCTGCAGAATCCATTTGTTGAAGAGAGAAACAAAAGGTTGTCCCAAGTTTGGATCATACACTCAACCCTTGGGTTGCAAGTCCTGCACTTTACCAGCTGAGCTAACCAATCAAAATATTAATGTCAGTCAATATTATGTCTTATATTATCATCCACCATCTAATGGTTGAAAATATTGCTCTGATGCAAAACTTATTTGCCGACCCCTGCTGTATATTATTTCTACTTATTCTTCTTTGAGCGTACGTGTTCAACATAGTGATGACTCTTTACATTGCCTGAATTCTACCAGAAGTAGAACAAGAAGAACAAAGTGACGAAACACGCTCTGTAGCACTGTTTGTCCGTTTTCAGCTACTGTAGAAACATGACGAGGCAACGTGGCAATGTCCATGGAAGGGGGGACCTGCGGTTATGTAGATATAAATAAAACGTAATAAAAACGTAATGGTTTATTATGTAAGGTCTTTAAACACCACTGAAAACATAGTTATGGATCTTATATTGCATTTCTGTCGACAGATCCTCAGAAATATTACACACTGGACCTTTAAACATAGCAGCAATTATTTTGGGACTTATAAACTGGAATGCATGACTCACATCAGCAAAATAGTGGACGGACAGGTTGTGCAGCAGCCGTTACCGCCGCATGTTATAGAGCACCTAATGTTTCCTGCACCTCTGGTTGAAACACAGATGGGTGTTATTGACTGCGGCAGAGTGCTGATAGTCTCTGTCACAAATAAAAAAATGGCATACTGCTGTGGCACTGTAGTTCTGCCCTTTCGCTGTGGCGTTTTTAACAGTGTGAAAGAACGTTGACATCATTAATCATATGAACACTGTACCTGCCATGCTAGCTCTCATCTGCCATGTGACTGGCTGTGAATGTCTCATACTTCATGTCTACCAGCACGGTGATGATGCTGTTGCAGAGCTAAGCTCACAATACAACTCAAATAAGAATAAGAAAAGTAAAAAAGAATAAGAAAAGACTATTGTATTAATCACTCACCGTTTTATGTGGTCAAAAACACCAACAATAGAAAAAGGCACACTAGAGCAGTAAGTCAGGAAATTTGTTTGTTGAGGATACACCTGACAATAGCCATATTTCCATCTAAGTGTCAAACAAATTTTAAGCAAATTTTTTGAAATGTTGCAAACAAGAAAAATAAGAATATGTTAATTATTCGATATACTGGTTTGGAGCGAATAATTAGGCTATTGTTTATTTCAGGTCAAGTCCCTTCTGCGCAGCTGACTGTTACAAGCACCTGCTACCTTGATATGCCCTGCACAGGGACAAAGAAAACCCCGGCCACCCTTTGCAATGGAAACATGTCCTGCATCATCATACCCCAACAAGCCTGGCCCTATGCGATAGTCCCACCCTGCCCCCTGAGAACAACTGGCCTCAGCTAAAGTGGATGACGGTAGGGTCTGACCTGAATTTGTGCTTTAAAAGATGTCCTTAGTTTGTATGAAAGAAGATGGATGAAGTGGTTGAATTATGTTAAATCAATGCATCAGGATGATCCACTACACTACGGAAAGCTTGCTCTATTTATTGATGTATTTATTTAAAGCTTTGATGAATGCACTGTAAACCAAGGCCATTGTCATCAGAGTATTATTATTCTTTACTATTTCTCAACATGAGAGGCTCACCCGTGACTTCTCCTCTAGGCGGGTCATCATAACGATGGTGCAGGTCCTCTGCTCCCACACCATCCTCCAGAAGTCACTCAGTGTCTCCGGCAGCGGCCCCTGTGTGGCAATGTAAGCATTCTGCTTCCTGTAGCCATCAATGTAGTTGGCGTTGATGTAGTCGCTACCTGGAACTCCTGATGAACAAGTTGGACAAAGTCAGGAAGCAAATTAAAATGGGATCCAATCAGGAAACTGAAGTATAACTTCACAAGATTCTCCTTGTTCCTCATTTTAATGCACGTAAATGGCAATCTATTCTTCTGATATTTCCCCTAACATGTAGCTTAAAAATACAACTTTATTCTCGTACTATTGTGACTTTATTCTCGTTATATTATGACTTTATTCTCGTAATATTACAACTTTATTCTCATAATATTACGACTTTATTCTCATAATCTCTGATTTTTTTACTCAATGTGGCCTTCACACTCCGTCGTAGAAAACAGAGGGGCTTCTAACTAAATTATGATGCAATGCATTTATAAAACAGGAAGGGAAGGTTTGTCTTTAATTTAAGTGTATTTTAAATAAAGGTAAATGAAGGCCCTGACCACTATTATAATATATATATATTAATATATATATAGAATTACGATATGTAAAGTCCCTCTCTTGAGATGTCTGAAGACGTGTCTCTCACCATCCACAGGTGTGAGGATGACCCTGGAGTGGTCGTAGGCAATAACATTTGCATAGCGGTTCTTTGGCTTGTTGACCTCCAGGTTGGAGTGCTCCCAGGTGAACTGCTGACCTGGATCAATAGACTGACACACAGAGGAGGGGGAGAGAGGGATTACAGAAGTGGGAGGGAGCGAGAGCAGTTAACCATTTATTAAAACAGTGCCTGTATTCCCCTCTACGGTTTAAAGCCTGTGAGCCTGAGTCCAGACCAATAAATGTGACACAGAAACTCATTTGTCATCTCTCCTCCAGCCTGGCTTTATAATATGAAAAGCCCTGGATGATCTCAAAGCCCCCTGGATAAACACTGGACTGTTTGAACACTCCCAAAATCCCCTCCAGCCTTCCACCTACCAGTTCAGTGTGTGATATTAACAAAGAACAGAGCCAATGATAAACGGAAAGCAATGCAGTAAAGATTTGTGTCACTGGTCTTGGATGTGTATTTCCCATAAGAAACAGTAGTGGTGTTGGACCACCATTAAAAGTGAACAAATTGTATTGATTACATTTCTCAATACAGCCAACAAGGATACAGAGAAATTTGCTACAGACATTCATGGTCCTCAAAAGATGAATCGTACTGACCTTTCTTCTAGCACCACCATCAGGTCAAGATTTCACTTACACTACTTATGATTTTATGATTGTTTATGATTAAATACCTCATAAAAAAGACTGACATTCCCATCAGCCTCATGTGTACTTTACAATAGCACAAGACAAGCTACACTGTACTACACTCAGTTTTTGCAATCACAGTGCCTAAGAACAGCCTCACAGTGCCGCAAACAAGGCTGTAGACTTAGTCCAGTTGAAATGTATTATACAAGCTGTATGTTTTATGTATGGTTATTTAGGTTTCAACACAAATAATTATGAGATTGCAACAGATGCTTCTCTAAATACATTTTTTTTACTTTATTTATTTGTGCTTGTAATGATGATTGGTGTGTATTGATTGCTGGTTGTAAATGCAGGCGCTGGTGTAGCATAATAATGACAGGCTTGCAAGACTGGTATTCATGATTGACCGTTCACGCTCCTACTGCTTATCTTACATAATCTGGATAACAAACACACAGCTATACATACACACAAGAACAGGCAAAATGAAGCGGTGATGAGGACTCTAATATCCTGTTGCTTTTCCCCCTGACTGGCTGGACGGCTGCTCAGCCCACTGGTTTACAACTGATAATAATGACAATGGAGAAAGAGGTTGAATGCACATCTTATTTAACAGCTTGTTAGGCAAGGCTTCCACCGCCGCACTGACAAACCTTTCACATTACTACTAATGTGCTCTGCTGACATGTAGATCAGTTATCGAGCATGTCAATGTAATCACACTCACGGAGCTGCTGTTCCAACCACAACAAAGCAGGTAAACACAAAGAGGAACAGTCAGGTGTGAAGCATGTGGATTTGTGTATGGCTGCGTTTTTACTGAACTCAGCCCAGAGCCTTTAAAGCCAACCAACCCTGTGACGTCACAGGTTATAGTACTGCACAATGGTGGCAGAAATACAGAAACCACAATCCAGAACAAACGAAAATTTAAAAATGTTTCCAGTGGACAACAAAAAGGGATGAAAACTGTCTGGACACGGAAGTCCTGCCAGTTTTTTTTGTATCTTCAGCTCATTTCCCAACAACACTCAGGTCACCCAGAGTCTCTCAGGGTCACCATATTTTACTTTACAACATATTTTTTATTTGATATGGCTTAGAAATAGATGTAATCATTATTATGTAATGAATAGAAGTGCTGTTATAGAGGCCATAAGCAGTATTCACGGTCTCCAGTAGTCCCCAAATAGAATGGGTAATTTATCTGACGTAACAAGCTGTGAGATCCTCTGGCAGGTCTCATTTTAAACACAGCCATTATCAGCATTTCATTTCAAGCCTTGCTGCTTTTACTATGGACTAATGGCTGGTAACTCTTATGCAACAGGACGCAGCAGGACATACAGTGTGTGTGTGTGTCTGAGTGAATGTGAGACCAATTGTCTCTCCCTAACCCTTAGTCTCAAGATCAAAGTTTATTGAGATCTAAATCTATCTATCTATCTATCTATCTATCTATCTATCTATCTATCTATCAGATACCTGCACAGCATCTTACACATCAGCTGGGGTGATTCTTGATTAATAGCAAAGACTAAGACCAAACATTCACATGTAGCCTCAACTAACCTCCATCTGAACCAACCACTTGTTGAACCCATTAAAAAAGTAGAACTATATCTACCTTGGGTAAAAACATTCAGTCTACAACATTGGTTTGTTTTAGACTTGGAGGAGGCTAATGACTGTCCCCCTCAGGTTGCCTTGTGGAGAGTGCTGCGAGAATACACAGTGCAGTAGTTGTTGAGGCATCCAGTCCTTATATAAGTGGAGCAAGAGTTTGGTCCATAATCTACTTTGCTGAAAAAAGGTAGGATTGCTCTCTCCAGGTTGGGAGTGAGTTGCTGCCTCAAGTGAAGATGGGGCTTTTCAGGTCTTGCTGACATAACGGTAAGATGGAACACAGTAATTAACACTGGATTGGTGCAGCATAAGAATAATGCAGGTATTATACTAGACTGGTGTGGTGAAGATGGAGCTGAATCTGAAAATTACAAATATCATCTAGAAATTGAAAGGTATATAGAAAGGTAAATGTGTTTATTTTTTCCTGTTTACCTTATGGACACCAGTGAGTGAACACTGTAATCAAGTGTTTTTGTATAAGAATGTTTTTTGCATTATGCTTAGGCTATTTTCATTGTTGTGGCTTATGTTCAAGTTCAGAGAAGTGAAGTAATACTTTTGATATGATTGATGCTTAATTATAAAGATAATCATTTCAACATTTGAGCAAACTCTGTATATCTCATTTTCTTTTTAAAAAGTGTAGGCTAATTGATTTCTGTGTCTAGCCTTGTATATTTGTATGTGCTATGAACAGCGCTCAGGAGGTAGAGCGGGTTGGCCGTTAATCGGAAGGTTGGTGGTTCAATCCCTGGCTCCCCCTGGTTGCGTGTCGAAGTGTCCTTGGGCAAGATACTGAACCCCGAATTGCCCCTGGCGGCTGTTCTCCACGCGTATGATGATTGTGAATGTTAGTTTCCGTTTGAGCACTTGGCTCAGTGTATGAATGTGTGTGACTGGTGTGCAGAGTAGTGTAAAAGCTCTTTGAGTGGTCGAAAGACTAGAAAGGCGCTATACAAGTACGGAGCATTGACATTTACATTTGAAAACTTAGTGTTTCAATAGGCTACTTGGTGGTAAGTCCCAAATGTTTGTAATTTGTAATGTGGATACTTTCTTCCCAGATGAACATGATTGCCAAATCTACAACCTAGTTTGAACAACTGGGTTGTCTACAAAATTTAGCGATCTGGTGGTTTGTGTGGCCTGGTGGAGTCAAATTCCCAGCCTGAATTATTGTGCCACTCACCCCTGAACTGTAGACACATGTTGAGAAACTCACACATCCTGAAGGAATTTGGTAGAACCATTGGTGCTTTGCATCTAATAGAGTTCCAGGCATCCAATAACATTAGCTAATGAATGCTTTACTGTGGAGGTTTTCTGGCACTATACAAGTACAAGAGATCCCGGGACCAATGGGATTACACATCCCAACTAGCCTGGGGACATTTGGGGTCACCGAGTGAAAGATGGAGGATGTGGCTGGAGAGACTGATATCTGGACAGCTCGATTAGGCTGCTGCCACCACAACCCAAACCCCCATGGGGCAGAAAATGGTAATGGATGGACTACTTCTAAACACAACACACACAGGCACATTTGAACATGTAAACAGAACGAGGCAGGAATGACATCGCCAACCTTGCAATTAATGTACAAACCCGCTCTACCTGTCAAGCTACAGCTGCCAATGAAAATGAATGATGATGGATGGGTCAAACACATCTGATTCTAGTCCCTGTAACTTCAGAGAGAATGATGGACCTGTCCGCATTCTTGCTGTTATTTACCTGGGTGTTCAGACAAAGAAGGAATTTAAGCATCAATTTCAACATCAGCTGCCTTTACTTCTTAAACTGCATCAAGTTATTTTCCTGGTACCTGGTTTAGAATACATTCTTAGTACTAAAGAAGTCCAGTAAGGCTCTAACCATAGTTAATTCATTACGAAAGTTATAATCTTAGCTTTTAAAATCTCCTTCCACTTTATAACTAAAATATAGCCTGCAATATATTTTCTCCTCATCAACTGAAGATTTCTTGCTCTTTACTTACACTACTGAAATCAACTAGACATACAGCATAACAGATCAACAGCTAGTTGATGTGCTATGCTGAATAATGTATCTTGCAAAACAGGAGTATATTGGACCTACTCCACATTATGTCCATGTTGGCTTTGCATAGCATTGAACAAATTAAAGGTAATGTTAAGTGAGCAATTCAGTGAGATCAAGAATTGGAAGGAATTCTACAACTTGAAGGGCTTGAGCCATACGTCAACTCATCGGGTTCATAATCTCAATAATCAGAGCATCTGATATCTCAAGACTACTTTGGGGAACTCATGACCTCTAGACTACAGCTAGTTTTGCTGACTTGTACTTGCTCATGTTTAACACCGACATGTTCAAGCTCTTTATTTGTTATATGCACAACAATTACAGTGAAGCATAGTTCAATCATGCAGGTAAGACACAATGCAAGAAAGTCTTCAGTTTATCTGAACATGTGTAAAGGTAAGGTACTTTATTTGTCAGATATACATACACCAAGATTCATCCTCTGCATTCACCCATCCCTGAAGGGAGCAGTGGGCAGCCACTGTACTTCACCCGGGGACCAACTCTAGACTGAAATGCCGTGACAGGTCAAACGGCACTGACTGAAACCTACCTAACATGTTTTTGATGGTGGGGGAAAACAGAGCACCCAGAGGAAACCCACACACACCGAGGAGAACTGCAAACTCCACACAGAAGGCTGGGATGACCAGGGTTTGAATCCATCACCTTCTTGCTGTGAGGCCCCAGTGCTATCCATTAGACCACCGTGTTGTACTTGTTTCTTTATGTTGTATGGTGCTAGAATTTAAACAGT